AAAAAACAAAAAAAAGCCAAACAATAACATTTTTAAGTTATCTAAGTGACTTATATATCATGTTTAACCTGAGTAGTGAAAGACCACGCGGGGTCTGAAAACGATGTGCCGGGAGTTTGCTGTTCTTGCCGGGCTCTAGTGACCCTTGATCACCCAATCAGCTATCGAGTTGGCGGGTAACAGACTTCTCCGAAAACGACAGAGTACTTTTGGCAATATGTCATGTCTTCATAAACCGAGCAGATTTTTGAATTTTACACACCTACTTTCTTGCCTGAAAATATGTTAAAACTTTATATTGTGACCCAGAAAGAGCAATATTTCAAACTCTTTAGCTGCGCTCCTCCACCATTGCTGCATTGACAAGAATTTTATATCATTAATAAAATACTATAAATAATAATTTAATTAATAAAGTATTGAAAAGAGTAATAAGAGTAATATTACAACTAAGTAGCTACCGCCATTGTTGGAAACTGGAATTGGCTGGGCCACACTATGAATTCTGGGATAGGTTGGGTCACTAAGGATACATCGACCCATTTTTCAAATTCGGGGAAATGAAGGACGCATTTGTCAGCCTAATTTGGAGCAGCCTTCTAATAGGGACATCCTTCCTCGCGTCGCTTTGACGTAATCAGCCTTCAAATGCAGCCTCCGAAGGATGCAGTCCCTGAATTGAGACACAGCCAGGTGTCTGTGCAGCGCTTCCACTCGAGTTTTTGATTTTAAATGAATAATCTGTCCACCGTCAGATTAGCGATGGCATTCACCTCCCCGTGTTTCAGTTATCATGTAACTAAAGAAATGTTTAAAGATTCTGGCTTTTAACGTTTATAAGACAAACGTGGAACGACAAAAGAAATACATTTGAGTGTCATCTGCAAAGAAATGTTTTCTTATATGGGGAATTTCAAGATTTGACCTTAGAAGTAGAAGACAGATGGATTAATAATTCATGAGGTCTAAAACTAAACACTAGACAGGTGAAGTAGGCAGCGAGGAGTTTCACATACATGTCACAGCGAGAAGAAACCTGAAATAATCAACGTAGTTGTCTTGAAAACATTTATCGCAGCGTGCATGTGGGCTTGTTTACAAATTGTTGCTCAGTGCATTAAACTGTTGCAGTCTTAATGGATTTTACAAAAACACAGATATAATCTACAGCAGTTTGTATTTTTAGATTACTAAGCATTAATCACTTGGATGTTACGTTCCAAGTGGAAGATTTTACAGATGATGCATTACATGAGAGTTTTCTTTGCTTAGCAGTTACATTTTAATCGGACTTTTGATCAGAAGCTTTTGTGGATGGACAGCTGCAATAAACTCACTCCAAGTATGCTGCAAACATGGTTTTTATTTCATGTAAAACTTCAGTACTTGGTTAAAGTGGATCAACCCGCAGGCCTGGTTTGGAGTCACCCTCAAAAGATGATGTTTTACTGGAATCGGTGTGAACTTTATCTGTCGTCCCTCTCTGTCAGAGTTCAGCTAAACTGGAGAAGGCAGAAATCCTCCAGATGACTGTGGATCACCTGAAGATGCTGCAGGCCACAGGAGGAAAAGGTACCCACATTGCTCCATACTACCACAATATGATTTTCTACGCTATGGTGACAACAGCTGATTGGTAGCTAGGCCATGACTTATGGTTTGGATTTTGATCTGCTGACCTCGCATAAAAACAGACTTTGGGTATGTACTGGGAGGTCGTCAGTGTGAAAGTGATGCACAGTCAGGTTTTGGAATATTTTAAGTTAAGTAGGCAGAAAGTGACTGAATGTACGTCAGTGTGATGTCCTCTGAAGTGATACAAACAGGACTGTGTGTGTGTGTGTG